AGACTGCTTCGTAATTTTCTCAAATATTTTATTCAGTTCAGTACTTCAATTCTTAATCATTATTCATTGGTCATTAGGCGGGTATTTACCCTACGTGAGTAATACTCAAGTTGCATTTCGCCCGTCATTACGTGAAAGAAGTATTTTTTTCCTGCACGAAGCAACACAATGTCTTCTTTCATATGCTTATAGGATATTGTGATCAGTGTGTCACAATAAGTTGTTTTCCCACCGTTGATGGTTCATTGGCCCATACAATCCCCAGAAACATTTTAGTGAACAGGTCATTGTCTTATACATTCACATCGATATTTCAATGGTTAGTCATTATCACTTCTTTTTCTCCCAATCATCTAATAACATTTGCATTACTACTTTGAAATATATACAAATTGACGAAAAGTTAGCAGCCTCTGGCCCTGGATGTGGTGTCAATGATTTTTAAATATGTTCATAGATACTGAAAAAAACACTCAACCAGTTTCATTTTGATTGAAAAACGCAAATATTTTATTATAAAAATCGCACATTTCTCAGTGCTCACATTAAAACGCAATTTTTAAAGTTTCTTTCCGAATATTATTATTACTTATATTATTGTATTTGCTTCTTCGAAAACCTAGAATTGGGATGAAGAAATATATATTTCTATTTAAAAAATCGAAGTTATGACAATATCTCTAAAATTAAAAGTATTTCAAACAAGAAAATGAAGCATGTTATTTCCCTGATCACCTTCAATAACTTGTCGCAAATCGCTTCTCGATACATCGAAGTTTCGAAGATATTTCTTGAGACTAACTTATGTGGCCCATCGTATACAATGTTATACGTTTATAATGTGTATTATTATTTGAGTTGTCTTCAGTATCTTTCCTTCCTTAAATGTCCATCCAAGCTTTCGTTTATTTGCATGATGGCTTGCTAGCCTAGTGGACTTGAAATATTGAGGCATTCAGCTGCAAAAAATGCTGATTGCAGAAAGGTCGAAGCAGCTTTTTTGATGCACCAGTGTCTGACTTTACACACATTAGACAGCATAATTTTTATTGCTGCAGGTCACCAGTAAAATAAAATAATATAATTGGTAATAAAATTAACGATGAGGTACATTAAGCTGTTGTAATCTGCTTAGTAATCCTCGCAATTTGTGCATGTGTTGTAAATCTAAATAGAACTGCCTATTTAAAAGAGATCATAATATCAAATAATTATTCAGGTCTCAGAATAAAAGTTACAAACTTTCAAGGAATGAAGGAGGCTCGAAGATGATTTCTTTTTCCCATTGAACAGGTGGTGGGAAACCTGACATAACAAAGTTATACAAATGCAAAATTCGAGTATTGCTTTCCTGATAGGTGATAGGTCTACCACTGGGTTCGAGGGGGTGGATGATCTCTGACAGCCAAAGAGACTTCGTGTACCTACCAAATACTAACATAGGATAAATTGCCTACCATTCAGGTGAATTTAAGAACGTTAATGAAAATAGTTACATATCATGTCTCATGATACATTAAAATCAGTGCAGCAGCCAGTAACCTAAAACCATGTTTTGATGTACTTGTAAATAAATTTAAAATGAAATAATGTTTGTCGTCTTTGTGCAGTAATGAAAATAGAAATAATTCTACCTCCTAAATATTAAATTGTGTACAAACATTCGTTCTTTTCGTAACCGTATTGTTCACGCCGATCGCGAAGTCCCCCACCCAGATATCCGCCATTGCGTTCACGGAAAAGGGCACGGAATATAATAGGCAGGCGCTTGGGTGCCTAGCTACTGCTAGTGTTGCCCTCGCAAACAGCGAGCGATCTCGGCGGGCACGAACTTTCGACAAGCGAGGTCTAGGAGACACATTTTAATAAAAAAAAATTATATTACAATTATATTAAAATTTGAGAAAGAGGAGACGGATATGTTAGATCCAGGCAGTGTGCTCCTATACTATCTACACGTATTTACGTCGTTTTCTTTTCATTTTCAGTTTTTGTATGTACTGATGGAAATAGACGGTTTTGGAGGACGGAAAACGTTTTTTTAATGGATTATCCTCAAAATAGATATTCCCAATCGGCGTGGCGGCCGAACCATCGTGCAGTGTGGTGCTTTCCAGGATGAACTCGAATACATTCGCCATCGAAATCAAAGTCCAGACCGCGCAAATAGTTTTGCTGTTTGGTACCGGCATGTGTGTCAAGTAGGCGATCTCTAGGGAAGTAATATGTTGGTAGCCGTAAAAATATGTGTAATCGAGCTTAAATGCACTAAATTTTCACTAGTTGAGCAAGTATATTAAGCACCTGTTAACAAATAATACAGAAATGATGAAGTTTGGTGAAGTTTCTCTTTTGCTTGCACAGATCACGAACCGCGACGTCGTCTGAGGTATTTTTACTGCCACATTCTATCACATTTCATCAAAACAATTTGTAACATTTTTGAATGGTGTTTGGATCGAAAGCCCTGATAAATCGATATAACTAACTATACATACATAAGACACACACGTTTTCAAAGAATTCTTTCATTTCGCGCTTAGAAGTACGTTTGCAAAAATAATACGTTAAACTTATAATGGTTTCCTCCAGCGCAAATAATTCGACAAATCTGGATATATTTCAGTGTTCGTTATGAAAAGTAACTTTGAGGAATATTGTGATATCATCAATACCACCGAATGTTTTTCCATTTTATCGAACTATATTGTTTGAACTTTAAATTAGCTTTTGAAAGATGGATTATAATTCATAAGGATGAGAATGGAAAAGCTATTCTGCTTATCAACAGTCTCTACAAAAAAACATTTATTAACATTTTGACCTCGTCCTTGAGACAACTTCAAGGCAATCACAAAAGTTTTGTGCGGAGCGGAAATGCGCAGGAGACGACATGCGATCTCGTAATTGTGACATACTAAGCTCTATAATATACGGGTATTCACTAAGGTGGCAGCCGAGTAGAGGAAAATTCCATAGAACAGTAACTTGTGTTCAGGTAGCTTGTTTACAGTTTTCACTGTAAGCGAAGTGAAGTAACCGCAAACATTGTTGACGAACGCGAGAAGAGCGTTTGATAAGAGTGAAATTTCGTTATCCTTATCGGTATCACGATTATCGATTTGATGATCTGTGGCCAACAAATTCAGAACAGTTTTTATATACTCGGTCGCGGTAGCTGTTGAGATAAAACGTTTATCTTTAGAACGAGGGCACGTGACTTACGTAACATGTTTTGTCACAGAGCAGTGACCTACAGTAAGCTACTCCGGCGGAGTTCAACTGGAGTGAAATGAGGAGACAAGTGGGGCGTGGGGGCGTGGTTATCTCATGACCTCGCTTGTGGCCTGCGCGTTGCGCGTGCTTGAACGCCTACCTACTGACTCTCCACTTCAAAACCTCCGGACTGGTTTCTTTGCTCCACGACCTACTGTACTTCGATTTTTCGATAGTGGCCGATGCCATTACGTCATTGTAACTCCTCCTGTTCTATAAAAGTGAATATTTTGAGTTAATTCGCGAACATCCTTCTCAACGGGACTCTGGCTTCGGAAATGTACTTACCAGTGTTAAAAAGATTCATTTTATAAGGTAGGAAATGTCTATTTTATAACGATGACCTAATGTCATCGGCCACTATAGGAAAATAAAGTCTACAGCTTGTTCACCGGGACCTGCCTCTTAAGTGTTCTCCTGCAGTGGCTCTCACCGGGCGGTCCTAGGATTTAAGTACCGATGGTGGCAAGACGCTCCACACTATGTAGATAGCTACGTCGAATTCAGCTGCTGACTGGAGGAGAATTCTAGCGGCCGGCTGCTCTAATTGGCAGTTTTCCGCGCCTTTTCCCCTCAATACCTACCAGCTGAGGTGACTCAGGGCATCGACTGATGTCATTGCAATGCCTCTGGCCGGGAGATCCTACGGTTTGTGTCACGACGGAGGCAGGCTTTTCGACACTAGCTACACAGAAAGGTCGAAACCAGCCGCAGACTGCAGGAGAATCTGCGATCTAGAGATCTGCTCTGCTCTGGCAGTTTTCCGAGGATTCTCCTTTCAATACCTACGGGCTGAGGTGGCTTAGATCGAATTTAGCCGCTGTCTCGAGGAGAACTTTACAGAACAGCTGTCCGAGAGGCAGTTGACCGTGGTTTCACCGATCAATACTATGCGAATACTGGAGCAGTGCCCTAATAAACTGGTCACGGACCGTTCGAAATTTTTCCTTTTATTTTTCCAATTCTCTCACCTTAAACACACGTACGTGCATTACACTAAAATTGATTATGTGAAATTCAACTGTGAACAACACCTCGCATAAAAATATTTAAAAAGATGATTGTAATTTTCTATTTCATTTTATTAAAATTGAATTTATTTAAATACTTATAATATATAATTCACTTCCCTAAAATTCAACTAGATCTAAAAACCGAGTGTTTGACTTGTTTCCCTGCTTCTCGCTTTCCCAAAACATATCTTTGGGCAAATTTCGTATACCGTCTTCCGAAATCATTCGAAATTGAAACCTCAATAACCATTGAAATGGTCTGTGAATACGTGTTTAAGTATTGGAAATCTAAAATCAGAAATTTGTAGAAAAGTCTTTTTAATAACGCGAACCAAAGGATGTTACGGCCGACTATCATTCAAAAGTAGTGTCGTTTCATGGACAAACAATCCTAGTTTTCAGGGCCTCGGGTACATCATTACCAAGATATCCACGATTATAATGTGTGTTGCAACAATCTGTTCCCCAAATTATTATGTACAAAGTTATATTTTTGACTTGAATCTGTTGCTCGCAGGATTGAAATGCAATTCCCACCATTCAGCAATATCACACTTGCAGGATCTTGTGTCGCCGATTTCGTACATGTCAAATATTGTCAACTATTCTTAACATATGTAGAGAGAATGCTACTAAAAACAATCGATGTTTTAGAAAACCTCAGCGTCAATGGCTCATCCCTAGACTGAAGGCGTTTGTTTGTGTGCACAGATGCAGCGAGTGGCGGACTTCAAGGACAAGAACGACTGGCTGCTGGGCGGGCTGCGCGCGGAGACCGAAAAGGTGGTCCTCACGGAGCACAACGTGGTCAACGTGATGGCGGGCCGCGACCAGAAGGGCCGCCGCGTCCTCTTCGTCAACGTCGGAGGTACCTCCTCACCCTCACCCCCACCCCCATCCTCACCCCACTCCAGCGCCTTCGAAAAAAGGGATGGAAACTGCAGGAATCTGACAAATTCAAAAAGAAATGAAGAGGGTCAGCTGTTAAATCAAATGAATAGTTATAATTATTTAATAGGCTAAATGTATTAAATGAACATAATATTAGTATTGTCCAACAATAACAGTAAAATAAATAATGTTTGTATACTATGGTTGGCACAAGAAAGTGGATCCTATAACGAAATACATTTTTTTAAATCAATTAGTTATACATAAAACACAATCTATTATTAATATTGTAGATGATACTTAATTTCTTGTTCCATATAATTATATTGTAATTAGATTACTGCAAATTATTATTCGAAACTATGACTGTCATAACAATTGCTTTTGTTATTTTGTGGTATCAACATTAAGAACTTTCGTTTATCGAATACGATTCACATCATGGCAACAACCAGAATTAGGAAACAACTTGTATACGTATGTCGTTCATACGCTGTTCATACAACATCTTATGCCACTTCAGAAAGTAATCAGGAGAAGATACAGTTATTAATTTCCCATTATTGTAAACATACCATAAAAACGAGAGGAACATTTAAACTTCTTACATGTTTTCGAAAGGAATTTTATTTCTTTCCGTCCACACACCATTTGATCGGATTTCATGATCTAAGAAGTAAATGCGGCAGCTTCACTTTTCAACTACTTCAAAACCAATATGATGGCCTTGATCAAGTTTGGGGTCTAGCGCTCCTTTATTTACGCATTGTTGTAAGAAAAGAGTGGATGTTTTTTCTTTGTTAATAGAACTACAAAAAAATATGCAGAACGTTCCGAAAGAATTTATTTTTAGATTAGGACATTAGGATAATAATTTTTTTGTCTTTGAGACGCACAAACCTGGTGTGAATGGCCAAGGGCGCATTGCTTCAGATTTGTGGAATAACGTGTGCTGCATATCTGTGCTGCATGTTGCAAGTCCGCCTGCTATTTTATTTACAGAGTAATCTGGGAATCTCTATTTTTTTGCCTTAAATATGTTTGGTCCAGTCTTACGAGGTAATTCCCTATCAAGCAGTAGCACACCTACCCGACTTCGTGCCGATTTATCGTAAATTGTATAAAACTATCATCATAGTAGGAATATGAAACATTTAACGCAATTATCACTTTTGAAATCATTCATATGGTATCTGCTTACATTCGGGTACATCAATTTCGATATTTGATTGAGGGAGTCACCGAGGTATTGATAAATGAACAAGCAACCAACATACCACGAAGGCGCATTCTTATGTTACACTTAAACACGATGAACATTGCATTGGAGGGCGGCGGGCGTTTTTATGATCACAGGGAATTTTCAACATCTGAATTTGGAAACGTGTTTTATTTCAATGTTACTCGTATTGACACACTCGAAATGAAGTCGCCCCCTTGGTTTGACTAAGGATCATATCCATCCGTTTTATTCTCCTGGAGCTGGTCTATTTCTTTGTCCGTTATTTTCCATCTTCATGGGATTTTCTTCAGCTCATGTTTTTCATAATACACATAATGGCGAACCTCGCTGAAAGTACAGGCGGAAGATGCTGTTGGTTCCCTTGACGAACGTTGCCTGATGTCGCCCGCAGGAACCTGGGACACCAAGTCCGTGACGTCCGACCAGATCTTCCGGCTGTTCTACCTCATCCACCAGGGCGCCATGCAGGAACCGGAGACGCAGGTGGCCGGCGTAGTGGTGGTGATGGACTTCCTCGACCTCTCCATGAAGCAAGTGACGGCGTTCACGCCCGCCTTCTCCATGCGGCTGCTCACCTTCATCCAGGTGAGCAATCGCACGAGCGACGCCCGAGGGTTGCGACTCAAACTAATCAAAATGGATATGACTGCATGTGCGTGTGTTTCAGCATAACTCTGTAGCGCCTGCATCAATCTCAATGAAACTTGAAATCTATTATTACAACCGGCTGTCTTATAAATTATTTTTATGAACTTTTTACTACCAATAAAATGTGTTTGTGCACTTTTTTTATTACAAACAAGTGTTCCAAACTAGCACAGCGTAACTGAAAAATGAAGAAGTCAGAATAATTTATCTTCCCCAACAGGTTATGTTGGCGTTGAAAAGTGAATTTTGGATTGCCACTTCTCTTGTAAATTGATGATATCTTTTTGATCAGATTCGACGTGATATTTTTTAAGTTATCGTAGGTACGAAAAGTAATGGAACAAATTTTCTGTTTACGAAATTTCTATTAAGGATGAAATTGTTAAATTGTTTAATTCTTCAGTTCTGAAAAGCCTCCTTCAGTGATTTTCCAAAAGCAATAGTCAAGAACTCTGTCTGCTCGAGTGGTCTCGAATTCCATTCAAAGAACAGTAGTCTCAATATTCAATCATGCTGGCACTTTAACAAAGTCATATACATGTGGTTATGATTCCCTTGTTTCTGTGGTCTGACGGCTGATGCCTTTCGTTGCAGGACGCGATGCCCTTGCGTCTGAAGGAGGTGCACATCGTGAACCAGCCCTTCCTCTTCAACATGGTGTTCGCCATGTTCAAGCCCTTCATTCGTGAGAAGCTCAAGAGCAGGGTAAGTGGGTGGCGTCAGCAAACTTTTCCATTTCTGCCCCCTTCTCATAACTAATTTCGAAGCGTCTTCTTCCCTTGTAAATATTGCTTGTTTTTTATCACAAAACAATGGGCGTTTGAATATAACAGAGACCGTCCAAGATTACCAATTACATTCAAGTTCCCTTGGTGACCGTCTTCGCCTGACGCTTCAAAAATAATGATTGATAGAACAAACAATGGAATTTCAAATTCCGATCTTTCGATTTGATAACAATCTCAATATTTAAACTAAGCAAAAATTCCAGAGCTAATATTCCAAGGATTCAGAATTTCCAATGGAATGTTGACGATGGTTGGCTCTGCGCAGATGTTCTTTCACGGCAAGAAGATGGAATCGCTGCACAAACACCTGGATCCCGCTTTCCTGCCCAAGGAGTACAATGGCCAGCTGCCGGCCATGGACTACACCTCCAAGGACTGGTATCCGATCCTCCACGCGCTTGACGACAAAATCGTTGGTGAGTGTCTCTGCGCCAACCCTACCATGCCCGCCACAATTCCATTCTAGAGTTGATGAGCAAGTACTTCAGAATGGTAATGTGAATCGGAAATAATCAACCACAACAATAAAATTTTTAATATTAATTCAAATATTCCAAAGTTAACTTTTTGGAAATACGTTTCCTCCTTCGGTAGGTCAATAACACGGAGAAAGAAAAATAAGAAAATAATATATAGTCTGGAAAGTATGTTATAGACCCACTGAAGATGAAAAAAGTGTTTCCCGAAAGTTAACTTTGGGATGTTTTAATAAATATTCAAACTGTTATTTTTGTGGTTGTTTATTTCCTAGTCACAAGATATCTGGCTACCACCATTTAATTTATGACTGAAATTTATGAGTACTGAAAAAAAGGCATTTAGTATACGTGCAAATGCACTATTTCAATCTTTGATTCCCTTGCATTTATCATTTTACTTGTACATGAACATAGATTTACCAATGAAATCAGAAAGCTGGAAAAATGTCTGCTTTGAATTTAGTTTTATACAACCATTTTTTCTAAAAAGTACAATAATTACATAAAACGAAAGACTGGACAAATTGGAAAATGGCATCTATAGGCTGCAAAATATGGGTAACAAACTTTCAAGGGAATAAAATTGATACATGAGAAATAATAATAATAGATTTTATGTATTATTATTATTTATTATTATTAATTATTATTATTGTTATTATTGTTGTTGTAGTTGTTGTTGGTAGTGCATTAACTGAGAAACTCCAAAAATATCACTTTTTCATCTCAACTAATGAATTCATCACAACTTCGAAATTATAAAAGCTGTAATATAATTTTCAAAAACTGGTTAATCGATTAAATCGAAAGTAGCAAATATTTGAAACGTATTATATACCGTTTTAAACCATATTTAATCTCTAATGTGATGGTATATGTTTGCTTAGAAATACCCGAAGGTTTGTGCATACTACCAACAAAGTCTTCATTAACATTGAAACAATACAAGACCCTCTTTATGGTTTGATATAATTGCTTCTGTTTCACTTCAATATTATAATCTTCCATTTCTATATTGCTATTACAAACGTCGCAATACCATGTTTATGTCTATATATTTTAATCACATGTATTAAATATATGATCACGAGTGGTTAGTTGACGTTTAATTGTTTTCCATCAATCGTTTGGTGTCAATTGAATACTCCCTTTTGAAGATCATCATTTACTTTATTTTTGCGTTGTTTTAGTTTTGAAGAAGATATACTTAATCAATGTATGGAAATAAGTACAAATAACACCCACAAAGATATCCTACAACCTAATATTTCCAAGCATATTAGAATAATATAACTATGAAAAAACTAATATTTTTAAATAATTGGAACAATTTTGCTACAAATTCATTATTGGTCATATTTTTATAAGAGCATTCTCATAGTTTAATTTACTATTATAAAACTTCAATAGCCACACAAGAATTGTATTTTACTGCGTTCTGTCATAATATTCATAATATGTCATAATATTCATACATAATGGATTTGCATAATTTTCATCGCCATATTACCAGACTACAGTCAAGATAACGTTGTGAATGGTAATCGTTATTCCATGGGCAAACTAGACCTTATTATCTTTTATGACATGATATGTAGGGTCGCAGGAAACTTAGTCATTTGGAAAATAAGAGCCATGAGCTATCGGAATTTGTAATGTCCTTTCGCAATTGTGATGGTGAGTGCCTATGAAATGTAACTAGATGTAACACTTTCCATAGTGACAAAAGCGACTTTAGTAATCGAAGAATAGAAACATGTCAACAACGCTGTTGAAACTGAGATTATGTCAGATGGATAAACAAGATTTCCTTTTGTGTGGGACGCCAGTTCGAAGAAATGCCGAAATACAGTAATATGGAAGACAATTGATCGTGTAAATATTGTGGCCCCTGTTTCTGTTAGTCAAATAAAAAGTCTGCTTCAAATTTCATCATTTACATCCGCAATTCGGGTTCTTGAAAATTCAGCTTTTCATCTACAGTTTCTAAAGCGCCTGGGTTCCAGTAACTGACGGTAAATCCACGCAGTTTCCCAACGAAGTTGCGAAATAAGTGTGACGCCACTTGCTCCATTTACTAATTCTAAAACTTGTTTACTCGCTACGGGCATCAAGCCTAAATACTGTAGATGGTTCGAACTTGATGTTGAATAATGTTGCCATTCCTATGAGTTGAGCACCAACACACATGCATGCTCAAAGCAAAGCGCAAAGGCGGATTCAGAAAGGAAAAGAGGGAGAGCACTTTCAGAAGATTTATGCATTTATTATTGTGATATTTGACCCTGATTTGTAGGCAACCTCGTCGTATGCACAGATGTTCAGCAGGTACGAGAAATATCTTTGACTGCGTCAGAACGTGACCTGCCAAACATCTGGACATAGGAAGTTGCCTAAAAATCAAGGGCAAGTATCGCATTGTATAATGTGTGTGTAAGGGAGAAGCGAGAATAGGACAAAATAAGAGACAGGAAAAATCACGTGCGGCCTTTGGGCGTTTTGTTAGGGTATTGCTCCGGCATTCGCCTTCTATTGATCGGAAAATCCACGCAAAAACTACCGATCAGAGCAGCCGACCGCTAGAATTCTCCACCCTACAGAGGCTGAGCTCGACCTAGCTAAGTAGCTAATTCTGCTACCGTTGGGACTGAAACTCTACGTCCTCCCGGACAGAAGCACTGCAGTGACAACATAACATCTGAGCTACCTCAGCCGGTCTCACAGAAAGAGAGGTCTCCCGCTTTCAGACGTCCTCCATAGAAGAGACCGTGGTTTTACCGTGCGGAAGGACAGAAGTTGGGCTTCGGACGGAAGAGTGGCGTTTCGAATGCAGGGAGAGTGGGCTGATATCAATTCCTCCTTTACTGCGGGGATGCACGGGTCGCGTGCCCGCTGCCGCCGCCGCCGCCGCCGTCAGGCCGTGAAAATTTCAGCGCTAGGAAAGGAAAAGCGGCTGCAGTAATCCGTCCGGATCGATTAGTGGCGAGTGGCACAGTTCTCAGAACGAACGCTGCCCGGTGTTCTCCCACGCCGAATAGTCTTCCACATTTAAATGAGACAGGCGAGGAAAAGAGCATGTGTCTGACAAAGAATTCGCGTTTTTCAATGTGTTTTACACAATGAGAATGATAGTGAAATTCAGAAAGACAAACTTTGGATAAATAATGCAATTAAAAGACCAATTACATGTGCGTTGGATTTACTCCCCATATGCACACCGTGAATATTTTGGGGCAATGGGGTATCCGATTTCTGGTAAAAATCTTAAAATATTTAAAATAACGTCACACAATGTGTCTCTAAAAACTGTTAATGAAATAGCCTACTGCATTAAAAATGTTAGACATAAAAATTAAGTTATTTTTAAAATATTTGATATATCTCATTAGTTCTATTTGTAGACAAGAAATTAAAAATGCTTTTATATAAAATATAGTCTATGTTCAATTCTATAGGCCATTTGTTAATTTTCATTTCTATTTTTACAAAAATATTATATTATAGTAATTAATCTTGTTGAAAGTAGTTAATCCGGAGGATTTTCCCCCCGATGGAGTCCCCAAACACTTAATTTGTGCCGCGAGGTGGGGGGGAGCTTCTATACCTAAATCTATCCCTGCCTCATACAACGAATTCTTGTCGGACGACGAAACGCGCGGGGGCGTATGACGCCCTGAAGTCTTCTCCACGTCGCGCGCAGTCTCGTGTAATCCATCTGCACCGACATTTAGAGTGCACCCCCACTCTTCTCACCTGTATCACATTCCCACAACGTCTTTTACGGCTCCCTAAATGGGCATCGGAGAGCCAGTGTATATCAACTGTATCCCGCAGTCATCTCTTCCTCAGCCAAACCTACCTCCCCAAAAAGGTAGAGCCCCACTGCATCTTGTTCTGTTGTCCTCTTTAATATGAGGATTGATTTCAACGTTTCCCGCTGCATTCTGCTTAGAATCACATTGACAGAATATAATTCATCCACTTCTGTCTCTTCGAGAAACAATGCCCTTTTAGAGCACTGCCAACACTCTGAAAACACAGCTTAAAATTTGGGTGAAAACAAACATGAAATCACCTTTCGCGAGCATCATCTCATCTAGCTGACACAATTCTGTAGATTCTGATATGGTCACCTGTGTTTGGGGTACGTGATAACATCTATATGCGCTGCTCAACTATCATTTACTTCCGAAACACGCGATGAACGAAACGGGATAGAGTCGAGCTAATTGCCTTCTCAGGTAACAAGAGAAAAGGGATTAGTTGCAAACGAGGTCGTAAGGTGCAGTTGCACGAAGCACACACAAGGAGTTAGCGAATGTTGGAGGGTCTCACGACCTCCTGGGAATAAAACAAATCTAGAGGCTCGTCAAAATGTGGGTTAAAAACTGTCTTTGAGCTTCGCATTTTAAAGAACTCGTTGATATTTGCACCAAAAAAAACAACAAACAACTCGCTATCTTCTCACTCGACCAAGCGCGTGCCCACTTGCCTAATCGCGCGATCGGAGATCTCTCACACGCTTGCTCACGACAGGCGACAGCTTTCAATCGATTTCCACTAGCACGCCGAAATGACGCAATGGACAAATGACAGCAGATTTTCATTGTAACGACTCATTTATTATGTTATTACTACTTAGTGTTTGTACTATACTACGAGAAAATGACAATTCATCTAAGGTACTACACTATTGATCATTTAAAGAAAAATTTACAAACTTTGCTTTAGTAGAAAACTCACGACCTTCTGAATGACAATCCTGAATGATTTCAAAATATTCATGGTTTATTCTTGGGCAATTCATGGTTTATTTAAAACCATGAATTGCTCTGAGACGTCCAACGGCGGTAGCTAATTTAAAATTTGAGCCAAATTTCATAACGGATTAGTTATAAACAATCAATCTCCTCACCTATTGGTTTATAAATGAAATA